ATGGGAAGGAACTTTAATTAAACTAGGAAACAATACAGGTAAGGCAAAAGAGTCTAGTTTCTAAATGAAGCACCTAAAGTTACCCATCCCCTCGTGGGTAAAAGTCCATCCATATGGGATTGGCCCAGAGCAAGGCCCCAAAGTCTACCACAAGTCTAAAACATCTTCCAGTGGGGACCCACAGAAAAGGGTCACAAACAACCGGACAAGCCCGGAAGGAAAAGAGCAAAATCAACATCAAGATAAAAGCTGCCATGGTCACCTCCCCACGGGTCTCACCCACATCTGTGTCACCTAGTCCACGACCAAAAGACAAGCGCAGTTTCTTCACGTGTCTCTAGGCTCCATGTGCCTCCTCCAGGTCTCCTTGCTCCATCCTGCTTCCTTCCTTAGTCTCTTCTGCAGCTTTTCCTCTTCCTGCTCAGCTCCACCCTTCCTTGGGTGGGGCAGGGAACCTCCCCCTTTCCTGGAGACCACCCTGTTACAATCCCCCCTTTTAATTTTATTCCACCATATCTATGGTGGCACAATCTCAGGGTGTAATCTTAGGAGACAGTGTTTTTTAGGGTTACAATGTGTGTAAGAGAAGCAACAATTAGTCAGCAGCATTGTCCATGAATGTCCAGTATGACAGTTTTTCATTACTTGAAAATAGTCCATTATCCAAGCCAAAAGAAAAAATTTGGAGCATTGGCTAAAACAAGATAGCAAATATATCAAAATCACAGGGAAAAAATGTTAAAATGGTTCAACTGATGTAAAAAACCACAAATTTTGTCAACCTTGATCCCAAACTTTTAACAGTAAAGCAAAAGTTTGCAAACTAAATCTACTTTTAAACCATTTTTCCTATTTTTGCATAAAATCACAGAGTAGAAATAACTAACAGCAATTTTAGCTGGCTTTGTTGAAATATTCCATACAGGATCAGAGCGAACCGTTGGCATCTGGTCGATGCAGGCTTCAGGTATAAAGTTGGTCTCATCAGACTCCACCTGGGCTTTTCTCTTCTCGAGGGTACCAGGGCATTTTCGTTGGCCGGGTTGTCCAGTCCTGCCAATGGAGGCAAGCTTCCTCACCTTCTTTGGAGGTCTCTGGAACCCTACAAACAAGGCAAACAGGTTAGCAACAAGAAACTGAATTTTACAAGAGCCAGCCAAGTGGCCTCAGACGCCATCTTTGATCTGGCCACATGGTCCAATGTACTGCCTAATCTTTTGAGTAAAACTGGCACAGAACAATTTCCACAAAATCAAATGTCTTAGCAAGTCACTACAAAAAAATTACATACAGACACACAGATCTTCACAAAGCCCAAGCCAGTTTTTCAACAGCAAATCGACATATGAAACAAACACACCGGAGAAACCAAAAATCACATTTGCGCTTATGGTAGCCAGTGCCATAGGGAAGCCCAATTTCCCCATGGGGCTGACTAGCCACGGATGGCTCTGTCCTAAATCTTCGTGGTCGCCAAATCTGTTATAGTGTTATAGGACAGGGAGAGGGGCAGCCCAAACCCTGCAAACCTGCCTATTCTACATGGGTTCTGCCATCCGCCGCATCAACACAAAACATAGGAGACTTTAATGGGAAGGAACTTTAATTAAACTAGGAAACAATACAGGTAAGGCAAAGAGTCTAGTTTCTAAATGAAGCACCTAAAGTTACCCATCCCCTCGTGGGTAAAAGTCCATCCATATGGGATTGGCCCAGAGCAAGGCCCCAAAGTCTACCACAAGTCTAAAACATCTTCCAGTGGGGACCCACAGAAAAGGGTCACAAACAACCGGACAAGCCCGGAAGGAAAAGAGCAAAATCAACATCAAGATAAAAGCTGCCATGGTCACCTCCCCACGGGTCTCACCCACATCTGTGTCACCTAGTCCACGACCAAAAGACAAGCGCAGTTTCTTCACGTGTCTCTAGGCTCCATGTGCCTCCTCCAGGTCTCCTTGCTCCATCCTGCTTCCTTCCTTAGTCTCTTCTGCAGCTTCTCCTCTTCCTGCTCAGCTCCACCCTTCCTTGGGTGGGGCAGGGAACCTCCCCCTTTCCTGGAGACCACCCTGTTACAAATTCACCAGAGCCAGAGCCGGGAGCAGAGCAGGCAGAAAGACCGAAGTACACTGCTGAGGGGAGCAGCGGGCGGCAGGAGAGGTCTGCGCGCCATGCGGGACCCTCCTCCGGTGGCCGGGGAGCAGCCGGGGATCGAACCGGCACCGCAGAGGCCACGGGCAGCCTCGCAACCAGGACTCAACCGCTGCGCCACCGGGGAGGACCTAAAACAAGAGTTTTTGTTCAAAGAAAACACATTCTTAACCACACAGTGTTTGCATGTAGCCCATGCTGAGTGGGTGTATGCAGATTCCTGTACCAGGCATGGTGCCCTTCTCTTCCTCCCGTGCCCCTATCAAATCCAGGTTAAAAGCAAAGAGAAGGACCCTAGACCTTTAGAATATTAGGGCCATGTAAGGAGAACTTTCTGGTGACACAAATACCAGGACTGGCATTGCTGTCCGTGCCCCAATTTCCAAAATGGTCAACCACTCTTGGCAAAATTCTGAACAAAGACAAACATTAAGCATTGTCAACAAAGATGAAGAGATTTAAAATACCATATGTATATTTATTTAAAAGGCATTTGCATGAGATGTAAATGCTCTTTAAAAGTATATTTAACCAGGGGCCTCCCCGGTGGCTCAGTGGTTGAGCGCTGGGTTGCGAAGCTGCCTGCAGCCTCTGCAGCCGGTTCGATCCCCGGCTGCTCCCCGGCCACCAGAGGAGGGTCCCACATGGCGCGCAGACCTCCCCTGCCGCCCGCTGCTCCCCTCAGCAGTGTACCTCGGTCCCTCTGCCTGCTCTGCTCCCTGCTCTGGCTCTGGTGAATTCTCTCACCCTCCTGTGCTTCTGACTGTACCCAGTGCATGTATAAACCAAACAAACAAACAAAATAAATAATAAATAAATAAGACATGCCTCTAGAAAAATTAAAAAGAAAAAAAAAGTATTTAACCATATTTAGTTTTTTTAAAAAAAGATTTATTTATTTATTTATTTGTGTAGAAGAACTGGGATGTAAGCCAGAGGTGCAGGGGGTGGGGTGTGAGAGGATTTACCAGAGACAGAATGGGGAGCAGAACAGGCAGATTGACTGAAATCCACTGCTGAGGGGAGAAGCAGGCGAGACAGGAGAGGTCTGCTGTGCCATGTGGGCCATCTGCCTGGCAGGAGATTGAACTCAGACCTCGTTGGTGATAGTGCTAAGGCTTAACCCCTACGCCACCAGGGAGGCCCTATTTTCAATTAATAAATAATAGCTTCCCCTCCCCCCTTTTTATTATAGTCCAACTAAAAAGAATCAGAATTAAGTTTCTACAAAGAAAAGTAATAAAAGTTATCCAAGTTTGGGCACTCAGTATTAGCCTTCATGGAATCAATAAAAAAAAAAATCATTGCAAAATACACTGAACTTTTTAGTACCTAAATAGATAAGGATGTCAATATTTAACTAGTACTTGAAGTTTCTCTTATTTTTTAATTAATAAGCAATGTAAATATTTTCCAAATAAATGCTAATTCACTACTTCAATATTTGTCAAGAATTTTACTTTAATCTTTTTTGTTCTTAGTTGACACACTTACTTTTGATGAAATGCTCAAGCACAGAATGTGATGGGGTGGCGCACCTGGCTTCTTGGCTGCCCCTCACCTATTTCCTAACACTGGCTGGGGGCCCTGTACCCAGGAATCTTGGACTTCTACCTCTAGAAGTGCTAGAATAGGTCCTTAAGACTCTTCAGCTCTAAAATCTATTATGCATGTTACATCTCTAATGCATATACATATCAAAATAAAATATCTATTTTGCCTCAATATTGAGAATTAGTTGATTTTTCAGCTCTACAACTTGAGTCTCTTTTTAAATATCTGCTATAGGGCCTCCCCGGTGGCGCAGCGGTTGAGCGCTGGGCTGTGAAGCTGCCCGCAGCCTCTGCAGCTCCGGTTCGATCCTCGGCCACCGGGCAAGGGTTCCACATGGCGCACAGACCTCTCCTGCCGCCCGCTGCTCCCCTCAGCAGTGTACTTCGGTCCTTCTGCCTGCTCTGCTCCCCGCTCTGGCTCTGGTGAATTCTCTCACCCTCCCGCGCTTCTGACTGTACCCAGTGCTTGTATAAATAAATAATCAAATCTTTAAAAAAAAAATATCTGCTGTAGAGCTGGCTACTGCGGCCTTTACTGGCAGCTCTGTGAACAGAATTGGCTACAGTTTGCCTCCATCCATCTTCTGGTATGTTCTCTTACCCTGCTAAGACTTCTAGGAACACAGTACCTTCTGCCCACAGTCACCAACTCCCACAGGATCGACTTTGTTGCGTATCTCATGCCCCTTGTAAAGAATGGGCCCTTCTTCTCTCTGGCACAAAGCTTTTTGAGCTTGCCAGGCCCAGGTGACATGACCTCTGCACCTGAACAAGGAGCCAGCCGGGAGACTGCTCGGAACTCCCCTCCTTTCTTCAACCCAAGCTTCTAGGACTTTAATCTGAGTGGCTTTATTATTCTAGGAGAGGGAAGGGCTTTGGACTACTGGGGCTTCTGGAATCCCATAACCATACTCCAGAAGTGGGTCCTTGCTCTGCCTCCAATTTCTGGCCAAGGGAATCAAGATAACTAGGGTCAAGTGTAGGATAATAATAATAATGGGTTCTGGGACGCTATAAAAATCCTGCAAGACAGACTCTAGCTTCAACTATTTACAGTCTGGCTAGAAAGATAAGACAGAGATAGAGCTGGATATATTCAGCAGGCCAAACAATGACATCAGGCAGCATGGAGGGAGTGGCAGGACCCATGACTTGGGAGCCAGAGACCTGGGAGCCAGAGATCTGGGAGCCAGGGAGGCTGTCACATCAGGGGTCAGGTGCTGCAGAGAGAGTTCTTAGGCAGGCGGGGTTCAGTGTGAGGGAGAGAAAATGAATCGTCCTGGCAGGCACATACTCAGTTTAGAGACAATATTTTAACAGCAAAATTTCTGCGTCTCAGACTATTGTGTCCAGTTCAGACCTTTACCAGGTGTTTCTCTCCAGCATCTGTCACTGCTTTGCTTCACTTGCACCTGCCAGATCCTTGCCATTCTGGAGGCTTCTTGTCTTCCAGATACAAATGCTTATATCTCTGGGGATGGCAATAGCAGGGTAGGGGTAGGGGCAAGTTATAGGTGTTGCTGAGTCTTTGGTTGGAAGATATCTTTCTAGGGTGACCATAACCTGGGGGGGGGGATTCTCCCTTTGGGTAAAAGTCACCAAAGAACTTACTTTCTGAGCCTCTTTACCAGAATTTCTGCTGGCTTGTCAGCTTAGGTTTTCCCTTTTAATCACTTCAAGCTTAAGTAGAGGTAGGTTGTACTGATGAGCGATAACAAGTTGGACAAAGTCATGAAAAACAAGAGGCTATATCATCCAGAAGTTGTTTTTTCTGGTAACTGAACAGGTGACGGTTACAGAAAATGAAGAATTCTTGGTGTGGGTGCAGCTTTTTCAGGCGGTCAAAGGAGCGAGAGTACACTTCTCACTTGTTGAACAGAGGGTGCGGACTGAACTTCTCCAGGGTCACAGAAGATGATCCACATGTTCCTGCCTGGTGCCAACCCCCTTGCAGGGGAAGAAACTCAAGGGACATCTGTTGAATGGACCCATCAAATTAATGTAGGTTGTGGATGGCTGCTTTTGGGGCCATCTTTATATTCTACTCTTATTTTCCACTACAGTTAATTACTTGAATTAACTATGACTAGTTTCAGAGGTTCAAACATCTTTGTTTTTTTTTTTTAAGATTTATTTATGCATACAAGAACTGGGATACAGGCCAGAGGTGTGGAGTGTGAGAGGATTCACCAGAGACACAGTGGGGAACAGAACAGGTGGATTGACTGAAATCCACTGCTGAGGGGAGCAGCAGGTGAGGCAGGAGAGGCCTGCTGCACCACGTGGGCCACCTCCTTGGCCGGGGATCGAATTCATGCTGCAGTGGCTGTGGATAGCTTCATAGTGCTGCGTCTTAACTCCTTGTGCCACCAGGGAGGCCCCAGGTTCAAACATCTTTGTAAAGTGTGTTCTGCATGCTTCTAGAGTGCGCAGATAAAAGCAGACAAAGACTTCATTTCTTGGTCGAAAATAGTCTGTTTTCCAGCCTCTGTCTCCAAGGCCATCTTAAGCTAAAAAACAACTGCTAGAAGAGAAAGAAACCATAAAAAATTATGCTCTCTGTGCCTATTGCATTTTTCTGATAAGAGATAAAATTCAAACATTCTCAGCAGTTTCTTGCACATGAATGCTTTTTTGGTTAAAGAGTACCTTATCTGCAAGTCCAAAGGCACTGCAACAGATTCTGGTGTTACATGCAGATCCTGGGTGTCACGCCCTCCTGACTGAACTCTGAAGTATCTGATCCTACTTGCCAGGGCGGAGTGGGATTCCCAGGCTCTGTGGGAGTGTCAGGAGCTGGCCTTGGCTCCACATACCTGCAGGTTTACAGAGCAGAACTGTACGGATTTGCTTTCTCTCTGACCCCATGGGCAGAAGGATCTGGCTTCCAAGAAATGAGTCACATTGGATTTGGGGCTGAGGAGGGATGTCAAGGAAAGAAAAGGCAACCTCATGCTTTTAAAGCACTCCGGAGAGGATGTGGCCATCCTCTGAGGGAGTAAATGACGTTGGTTAGGGCAGACCGAGCCTGGGAGGACTGAATTCCTTTTGCTGTCTTGCTCTGGAATTTGCAGACATGGGCTCTGAAGTTTAGGTCTTTGGGCCCACACTTTTCCTGCCCCTACCATAGAGCTTGGACTTGACTGTGTACGCAGCTAAGACTTACCTGTGTTTGCTCTGTATGGAATGTCTTCCATTTACCTTCCTCGGTCTACTCTCCATCCTTCACCACCCTGTCTGTATTCCAGGAGACTGACCTGCAAGGACGGCCTTGAAGTGCTCCCTAAGTGGTTCAGTCCATGGGAAATCCAGGCAGGAGATGAGAAGTCAGAGGTGGGGATGCCTATCACCCCAGCTCCCTCCCTGTTGGGTCTTTGGGGATTCCTGGCAGGGAGTCACTCCTTTTGTTCTCTCTTTGGTTCTGGGAAACAGATTCTTTCCCAGAGGAAGAGGGTTAGGGTTGACCCTGACCCTCCCTGGTGCATTAATCCCAGGTACTTCTCCAGCCCTTGTGGATTTTACCTCCAGACTTCAGTGATTCATTAACAAATACACGTTAAATTTCCAATTTGCAGTGTGGCATCTTTTCGTGGGGGGACCCTGACTGATCACAGGGGCCTGATGGAACTTGGACTGAGGGAGTCCTCTGTCCCTGCAGCTGTCTGCCACTGCCTGTCCAGGAGAGGGCACACCAGGCGGGCTGCCCCCCACTCCCCCATCCCCCCCATCTCCTCGGCATTAGAGCCAGTAGCGTCCACTAACCCATTTTAAGTCGCGAAACACCAGCAACGCAGTGTATGGAGTGTCTATCCTCCGACCACACGGCCCCCCGGGAGCTGTCCAGCACCCCGAGGGGGTGCCACATAGCTATCATGACTGCTAACCAGGGAGAAGGCTACAACTCACCACTGGACGTGTTTCCTCCTGAGCGCCATTACTTCCCGCTGTCCTGAAGCGGGCGGTTGGTGAGAAGCACCGTCGCAAGGCGGGTATGTCTGTTGAGAACAAATAATGGTGTCGACTAGAGGGTCCAGCGTGAGCTCATCTCGCCATCGGGTTCCGAGTTTTCTGCCGGGGGTGACGGCGCCGCACGCGAGCTTGCTGTCCACAGAGGTGGGTTTCGGCTGGCGGCCCCGACGAGGCGGGCGGGGAGGCCCTGAGCGGGGTGCGGGGGGCCCAGCGCCGGAGCCCAGAGCAGGCCGCGCGCCCTTCGGGCGGTGCGTGGCCAGGCCTGGAGGGAGCGCGGGAGGTCGAAGACCGGCCAGGAAACGCCGCGAGCCCCCGCAGGCCCGACTGACGTTCCAGCTCTTTGGGATCGTCTCCCCAGGGGTCCAGGGAGGGCTTGAATCCGGCTTCCCTCGGGTCCGGCAGGCGCGGAACCCGCGCCACGGGCGGGAGCGCGGCTCGAACCCGCGCCGCAGGAAGGGTCCCCTCGCCCGGGGGCCGGGGGGCGGGGCGGAGGGCGGCCGCCCGCGGCGATTGGAGCCCGGCCCCCGACGCCGGCCAATGGGCGGCGAGGGCGTCCGGGGGGCGGGGCGGAAGCGGCGTCTTAAGCGGCGACGCGCGTCGCGTCGCTCCGCCGGGTGGACGCGGGAGTCGGCGGCTTCGGGGGCGCCGCAGGTACCGCGGGGGCGCCGGGCTGCGGGGCGCGGGGGGGGGCGCGGGGGGGGGCGCGGGGCCGGGCGGGGAGGGGCGGGGAGGGGGGCGGCCCGGGCGGCCCGGGCGGGGGCCCCGGGGACCGGCCTCGGGGGGCGCTGGGCCTCGCGGGCGGGCAGGCTCCGCCTTTGCGGCCCGTGTACGTGGCGGGCGCGGGGCCCGCTGGGGCGGGGGGCAGGCGGGGGGCGGGCCGCGGGCGGGGGGCTGTGGATGTGGCACCTCGCGCTGCCAGCTTGGGCGGAACCGGGCTGCCCCGGCCCTCGCGGGCCTCTCGCCCCGCCCCGCGCGGCCTCCAAGCCCCCCCGGCCCCCCCCGGCCCCCCGCCACAGCCCCGCGGGCCCCCGCCCCTCAGCCCGCCGGGCCGCGCCCCAGTGACCCCGTCTGCAGCCCCCGGCCCCCCCCCCCACGCCCGGGCCCGCGCCGGGTCCTCCCCGGGAGGGTCTCTGCGCCCGTCCCACCTCGGGGTGTCGGGGGCGCCGGGCCCGTCAGGCTCCCTCGGCGAGGAGGGTCCGTGGGGCGGATGCGTTCCCGACACCCCACAGCCCCCGAGAATGGTGGCTTTTGTCGGGCTCGAGGCGCCCCTGGAGCCCGCGGAGGCTCTGAGCTCCGGGCCGTGGCCGAGCCCCCCGCCCCGCGCCCCCCGCCCGCGCCCCCCGCCCCCCGCAGGCGCGCCCCTCCTCCAGCCTTTGTCCCCGGCGCGGCGCACAAGCGGAGCTGCCTCGGCGGGGTCGGCGCGGCTGCCTGGCCCGGCCCGGTCACCCCGGCTCCTGGGCTGTCCCCCCCCCCCACCCCGTGACGGATCGGGGCGAGGTGCGCAGGCCGAGGACAGCCCCGGGGCGCTGCTCTGGGGTCCTGGGTCAGAGCCCGGGCGGGAAGCCCCCGCGAGAGAGCCCGTCCGGGGTGTGGCCGGCCCCTGGCGCGGGCAGCCCGGGGACCCGAATTCCGCGTCTCGCGGGTTTGAAATGAGCGGTTCGCTTCTCCGATTCGGCTGCCCGGTTCCCCTTGGAGCCTCCAGCCCTACCTGAGAAAGACGCGGGTCTGGAAGGAAGCTCTTCGTGGAAATGAGATTTAAAGGAAACTTAATTTGGGGTTTTTAGTTTTGCAGGACAGTTCTGTGCCCCGCCCCCAAAGCCCAGGGTGGCTTTAAACAGTAAAAGTCTTTTTTTAAAAAGGTTTATTTGTTGATGCACCTCCAGCGGTGCGGGAGCAGAGACAGAGCGGGGAGCAGGACAGGTGGATCTCCTGAGGTACCCTGCTGAGGGTTTCTCCCTGGCCCGGGATCGAACTCATGTTGCAGTGGCTGGGGTGGCCTGATGGCGCTGTCTTCCATCCCTGCACCACCTGCAGGCCCCAAACAGTACATCCTTTCCCCCCTCAGCGCCTGATGTGTCTTTCCTCCTCACGGTGCCTTTATTCACTTACTTGTGTACAGATTTTATGCCCTTTACTGAATTCTTGGGGTGAAAGAATGATGAATGGACCAATTTTTTGAGGTGTGTGTGGGATGTGGTCTGGTTGAGCCAATCCTTTTTCAGTAGTAGCACTGTAAGCGTTTGCCAGTGACGCACTTGTGTTTAGCCAGGTTACATAAAAACACACACAAAAAAAGTAAAAAAAAACTTCTGTTGGCAAAACTTTCGGAATGTGTTGGTTACCTCAAGAAAAGTAAATATTTGGCAAATAGAGTGAAACCAAATTTACTCCTCAAGTGGGGCATTTTAAGTAACTAGAAACTTTCACAGTGGTTTACAAGAGTAGTGCTTCGCAGCGTCTTCCAAGTTAACCCTTCAAAAGGCAGCCTTTTATGGGAATTCCACTTGGGTATGTCCTACCGCAGCGCGGCTGGCGTATGGCCCGAAGAAGGACTTTGTTAATGATTTATGTGGGTGACTGAGAACAGGGTCACATTTCTGCTGTCCGGGACCTGAGGGTGGGCCGTGGCTGAATGCTGGGCAGCAGCCTGGGCTGGTCACACTGTGTGTATTATCTTGACTCGTGAAGGCCGTTGTTACCCTAGTGAGTGCTGGATGGGAAGGTCACTCTGGGGCACCGAGATCTGCGGCCAGACTCTAGGTTTGGTGGCTCTTGTGCGGGAGGTGCACTTTCCTGCCCTGGGACCTTCAGGGCTTGGGGTCTTCAGGCATGACCTCCTACCCTGGTTCCATGGGTGCAAACTTTCAGGAGGGGGCACTGTCCTTTCAAGGAGCCCAGCAGGATTCCAGAGGGGGCAGCGGGGAGGGGGCAGCTCTCCACCTGATGGTGCTCCAGGGAGCCCGGGCAGGAATTTACATCCTGGTCTCCAGCCCATGGGCTTTCCATGTTCTGCTTCTGCTTTTCCCAGCCCCTTTCCAAGAGGGCACTATTGGTGTTGGCTATTTTAAGCCCATCTTAATTCTGTTCTAATATTTTCTGGTTTTGTGCCAAGCACAGTAACTTGATCACAGAAGGTCCCTTAATAAAAATACAGTGAGTGGGTTCTGGGGGGTTGTGATGCCCCCGGGGGCAGCAGGGCTTGTCCCAGCTGGAAGGAAGGTCTCTGGCTCCTGGCGAGAAGCAGAGGAGAGCGTTAGTGATGGTTGGCACCAAGTTGTTGTCATTCCTTAGTAACATTTCCTGAGCTGGGCGGAGGAATGGACCTTTTTCTTATTTCTGTTGGGAATCAGCTGTGCTGGGGCCAAACTGTTATAGGGCAGCCCCGATACAAAACGGGGGTGCCTGACTGTGGGTCCTCACCCGTGCACTAAAAGGACTTATCCATGCTCTACCGCAGGCACACGCGAAAGGTTCATAAAAGGTTTATTTACAAGGGAAGGGGAAATGAGGAAATGTGCAGCTCAGGGAGAAAAGTGGGAGACAAAGTTTTAAATGCGTCCTCCTCCCCGATCCACCGATCTGGAATCCCAAATGGCGCTCTGAGAGCTGGCCGCCAGCCAGGAGGCGAGCCATAGCGAGCAAGAGAGCCCAAGGCCCACGTGTTTGGTTTTTATACCTAACCTGGCTGCTTAACTCCACCCTCAGGTCCCAGCCACCCTCCCTTTGGTGGTGACGGGATTTGTCTTTCCCAATGTCCTGATGGCTTTAGTCTGGAGTGGGGGTGGGGTCCACAAAGCCTGCATGGGATTAGCGCAGGACAGCCTTTCCCCCTAACAATTCCCCCCTTTCACTTTTTGCCACCATTTCCATAGCGATTCTCAAAAGATTCACCTGTAACACGTATTAGTCTGTTAATTAGAAGACGCTATGGGGTAACTTGCAGTTTTTTTTTTTTTTTTTCATTTTTCTTTTTCGTGTCGTGCCTCTCTGCTTCTAGCGAGGACGCAGGGTGGCAGGCCTTGATAGCAAGGCCATCTTAGACAGTTTTTTATTTTAGGGTTTGGCCCCGACACCCCTGAAGCACAAACTTTTAGGGAAACGCATGATCACTCATGTGGAAAGCACCCCAGAAAGATAAGCGAGGGAGCTCTGCTGAGCCCTCCATGTAAGCATTCTCTGGCTTTTTTTGCAGTTGAACATTCTGTATGTGGTTTTACACCCTCAGACACCCTGCGGCGCCTGGATCATTAGAAAGTTGCTAATTCAGATGCCAGAGTTCTTCCTCGTGTGCTGCTCGCCCATCCTCCTTGTCCACCAGCGTCCTGCGTGTCACTCCATGTTGTGATTTTTTTTGTCTTTGGAAGAGAAATCTGCAGCGACTGACCTGACTAGTTGCCTTTCAAGTAATATGTGTCGAAAGAAAACTAGCAATAAACTAGCAATAAAAACTGAGGGGCGCATGCTCACATGGCTGCTGCGCCTATGGCGCCTCTTTTTTTTTTAAAAAATCTGGGTCATGGTGGGCTTGCGACACCGGCGGTGTCAGGTGGATGTCCTCTCCGCACCTGCACGCGCCACGCACCTGCACGCGCCACGCCCCCCCCACCGCCCAGGGTCCAGCGCCCACTAGCCCCTCTCCCCTCTGCCGGTCTTTCCCTCCCGCCCCGCCATTCTGTTGTCAAAGTCTAAGGGTTTGTTTTTGTTTCGTGTGTTGAAGGCGAAATCTTAACTGGTGTCTTTCTCCCGCTGACTTGCTGCGCTCGGTACAATCCCCTAAGGTCCGTGTTGTCCACAAGGGCAAGATTTTATCTTTTTTTTTTTTGGCTGGTAATTGCCTTAAGCGGGACTGAGCGGGGGCGTGCGGGTGGAGGAGCGCGCTTGTGGGCCGCTGGTGCTCTTCTTTCCAGAAAGTGTCTCTACCTCTGAGCAGCGCTGCACGTCCTTGAGAACTTAATAGAGATAAAATCACTGTATTTCCTTTTCGAGTTGGCCACAGGGAGCATCTTACTAAGCAGAGCAGAAGAAGCCCAGGAAATCAGTTGAGACCCAATGTTTTGGGCCTAGCGGGAGTACGTTGGGGACGCTCTGTGAGGCGCTCTTGCTAGCAGCTGTCTCCACGCTAATGGATTTCACAGATTTCGAAGTTGAGGTCCTTCTTAAAAACATGTGCTTATGCTCCATCTTTGCCTTCTATTTCAGGAGTTGCTGGTGTCTCGGGAACTGCGGGAAGCCAAAGACCATCGTCCCGGGATCTCGGGTTGCAGATCTGTGTTCTGGTTCGAACTGTGGCTACCAAGGCTGGCGGGGTGGGCTTGGCAAGCCAGCGGGCCGGGTTTGCCGAATACTTGTGAACCTGAATACACGGGGTTTGCCGAGTCCTCCAAGGAGGACATTCTCATTTGGCGGCTGGAGTGTGTGTGTGTGTGTGGGGCGGGGGGGCGCCTGCTGTTTGGGCCCGCAGTGGGTGGCGTTACGTTGAAACACGAGTTAACTAGCCTTCACAAAATACTGTGTAGTATTTTGTCTCAGTCTCCCTAGTTCCTGGCAACTCTCTGCTCATCTTTAATTTATCTTTTTTTTTTTTTTTTTTTATAGAGGCATGTTTTATTTATTTATTTATTTTATTTGTTTGTTTGTTTGTTTTTGTTTATACATGCACTGGGTACAGTCAGAAGCGTGGGAGGGTGAGAGAATTCACCAGAGCCAGAGTGGGGAGCAGAGCAGGCAGAAGGACTGAAGTACACTGCTGAGGGGAGCAGCGGGCGGCAGGAGAGGTCTGCGCACCATGTGGGATCCTCCTCCGGTGGCCGAGAAGCAGCCGGGGATCGAACCGGCGCCGCAGAGGCCGCGGGCAGCTTCGCAACCCAGCGCTCAACCGCTGCGCCACCGGGGAGGCCCTTTAATTTATCTTTAAAAACATTTTTCTCTCCAGATGTGATTCGCTACCTGTACTTCCCCCTTTCCTTTTCATTCTTAGCTTCTTCCCAAGCTCAGCCCACATGGTTCACGTACGGCCTGATACACAGCCCCGAGAAGCCCTGGCAGGCGGGGCGACGGCTGGCCTCACCATAGTTGTGATTCGGTGTCCATCTGGTGAACTTGCTGGAATGTTCTCCCAAGGCTACTTGTTATAAATCATAAAGCATTTTTTTCCCTAGAGTTTTTGCCTTTCACTTTGGTCTATGATTTTTTAAAAAGATTTATTTTTTATTTATATATACAAGAACTGGGGTGTAGGCCAGAGGTGCAGTGCGGGGCGGGGGCAGGTAAGAGGATGCATCAGAGACAGAGTGGGGAGCAGAACAGGTGGATCTCCTGAAATCCACTGCTGAGGGGAACAGGGGGGAGACAGGAGAGGTCTGCTGTGCCATGTGGGTCAGCTCCCTCACAGTAGCTGGCAATAGCTTGATTGAGACAGCCCCTGAGCCACCAGGGAGGCCCTGATTTATGATGGCTTTGACTTAAAGCAGTTTTGGGTCTGACCGAGTAAGTTACCGTCTCTAGTTGGCTGTCATCTGAGGTATCACCTCTACCCATGTTCTTTTTGCTTTAGAATGGGCCCCATTGTCTTTGTGGAAACAAACCTCTCTCTGATGGGGTTCAGATGTTGGAATGTGGATGAATGTGGTCCTTGGGTCTCTTTGAGAAAGATTTTGTCAGTTTCCCGTTCATCTGCACATGGCCAGTTTATTAAAGACGTTAGCATAGACACAAACAGGCAAAGACCTTAACTGTTAATCCTTTCTGACCCTACCTCAGATTCCTGGAAAATTCCATAACCAGTTGAGCAACTGGTTAATCACCCTTACCCTCCCCTCTGGCTTTTATCCTTGTGAGACCTTCCATCTGAATTTGCTGCCCTAAACTTCATTTTCTGCTCCAAACCTCCATTTCCTCAGGAGTTGATATGCAAAGTGGTTCTCAGCCCCTCTGCCCCTCCCCCAGGCTGCCATCTGGCAGGGCCTCTCCCGCCTCCATCTGAAGTCACACTTCCCACCAAATCCTGCCCAATCTAGTGGGACTCCCCCCTCCCTCTTTTGCTCAGCCTTGCCTGCTTCCCCCAGGACGCTCATTTGCCCCTGATGTCCTCTTAGCCCAATATCTTAAAATACACAGGTGGGGGGAGTGTGTGTGAATGTGTAGTCATTGTAACACTACTGTCAACTCTCAGCTAAGGGTGTAATTGAATAGTGAAAGCCCCTTATCTTGGTTTTTTGTTGTGCATTCTGCGCTGTGCAGTGTGGGGCAGGTCCCTGTGAATGTGGCGTGCCTGCTCCCGTGGCCTTCCCCTTCCGGCTTCCCAGCACCAGGTTTCACTTACCTCTCACTGTGCTGCTGCTTTTGCAGGGTGGGGGTAAGTGCAGGTCTGGCGCGATGGCGGCTGTCTCCCGGGAGGGTCTCACTCCGGGCCTCTCTGACCAGGTCCTGGTGTCCAACGTGAGGGCAGGATGTTTTCCAAACTGGCGCATTTGCAGACTGTGGCTGTGCTCCGCCGAGGATTTCATTCTTCAGTGGCGTCTGCTGCATCTATTGCTACTAAAAAAACAGTCCAAGGCCCTCCATCCTCGGATTACATTTATGAACGTGAATCTAAGTATGGTGCCCACAACTACCACCCTCTACCTGTTGCCCTGGAAAGAGGAAAAGGTACATTTTGAATTAATCCAATCCCCTCCCCCATTTTTTGCTTGCAGCCTTTTGTAAAAATGCTTTTATATTTTCTCAGTGTATATATTTCCAGATGTGCTTGATTTGTGTATTGCACAGTGAATTCAGCATTTCCTGAGCGTGTAGTGCTCGTGGAGTCAGGGGCTGTGGGAACAGAGATGAACTGTGGTCTTGTTGGGCCTTCCCAGCAGGGAGGTGAGGCAGAGAGATGCTGCTGCTTTCATTTTTTCCTTTGATTTTCATTTTGGCACAGTTTCAGACTTCAAAGTTGTAACAGTTATACGAAGTATTTTCTTTTGCTCTTCACCCAGATTTCCCGGTTGTTAGTGCATTTGCTTTATTATGTCTCTCTGTCTCTCCCCCCCCCCTCCATTTTCCCCTGAGTGGCATTTGCAGACGTTGTGCTGTCTCTATCCCAAATACTTAGTTATGTCTTCCCTGCAACACAAGGGATTTCTCCCATGTAACATCAACACTGATCATCTGGGACAGGACGTGAATGCAGCCACGCGCCATGGTCTCCTTGGCAGGCTTGGTTGAGATTTCATTTGTCCTGTGCAGCAGAAGAGAATCTCAGCACGTGGCTTGCATTCACTTCTCAGGTCTGTTTAGTTTGTTTTCAATCCAGAACCATTCTTCAGTCTTTGTCTTCTTGACCTTGGTGTTTTTCTTTTTCTTTGTGTTTTGCTTTTTCCTCATTTCTTGCATTTGAAGTATTCCTTGATGACATCCTTGGCCTGAGATTCTTTGCCACTGTCCGTAACTACCACACAACTGCAACCAGCCGCTTTTACGGGCTTCCCCTCTGTCACTTTCCCAGAGGCCTACCCATTTGCCTTCTTTTCCGCCTAAGGTTGTGCTGTCACCAACCTTAATTTAGTTGACTTGATGTTCAGCACACAGGGCCTCCACCACCTTGACATACGTAGGCTCATCATAGCTGGATGCAAGCACCTGGAGGTGGGCTTGGCACTTGTCTGAGGCTTTGGCAGCTTCTCGAAGTCCACATGCTAGGCCATCATGAGTGAGGGCATCTTCAGTGTGTTAGGCACTTGGCAAAAGTTAGATGTAAAGACTCCCTTGCGTTTTTTTTTTTTAAAGATTTATTTTTATTTATTTATGCATACAAGAGCTGGGGTGTAGGCCAGAGTGTAGGGGGTGTGTGTTTGAGAAGGTTCACCGAGACAGAGTGGGGAGCAGAACAGGCAGATCTACTGAAATACACTGTTGAGGGGTGCAGTGGGCGGGACAAGGGAGGTCTGCTGTGCCAAGTGGGTCAGCATGCTGGCCTGGGATCGAACTCATTCTGCAGTGGCTTTATGGTACTGATAGTTTCATGGTGCTGAGACTTAACCCCTTGTGCCACTAGCGAGGCCCAGTGCCAGAACTTTCTCATAGTCTCCAAAGGAAACACAGTAAACAGTCGCTCCCTCTTCCTTCATGCCCCTCCCCACCTGCTTTGTCTCAGTGGAGTCACTTATTCTAGTTTATAGATGAAATAGGACAATTTGTGTCCTTTTGTGCCTTCTGGGACTTGGGTAGTGTGCTCACGGTGCAGCATGTGGGGTGGGTGTCAGTAAATCTCTGCTCTCCTGTGGAGCGGTGATCCAGCAGCTGCTGGGCACATCTCGGATGTTTGTTGTGACAGCGCCACTGTGAATCTCTGTCACTGTCAAGTAATCATGATTTTATGTTATGTGTAACTTTAAATTCCAATTCTTGTTGGAGAACAAGTGTTCTAGGAGAACACTTTAAGTGTTTAGAAAACCTTTAAGTTATGCTTTTCTTATGTGTAATTTGAAGATTGGTCAGATAAAAATCATTCCTCATGATCCAGAGTTTATTGTGCTTAAGCTAAAACATGCTTTGGCCAATTTCTGTCTTAGAGGTTCATGTGCAGGTATTTAGAGGACTCGCTAGCAATCTTAACCTTTGAACTTTGCATTTTAATAATTTTCTAATATTATTTTCTTTGCCTGTTAGGTATTTACGTATGGGATGTAGAAGGTAGAAAATATTTCGACTTCCTGAGCGCTTATAGTGCTGTCAACCAAGGGCACTGTCACCCGAAGATCGTGAGTGCTCTGAAAAGCCAGGCGGACAAGCTGACCCTGACGTCGCGGGCTTTCTACAACGATGTGCTGGGCGAGTACGAGGAGTACGTCACCAAGCTCTTCAACTACCACAAAGTCCTCCCTATGAATACAGGTAAATTCTTCCCTTTTTGGTTAAATGATATCATTACCCAAGAACGTAACCTTACTAGTTTCTGATAATCGAAAACATTTTTTAAAACCTAAAAATACGCTCTTGGCAGGAGTGGAGGCTGGAGAGACCGCCTGCAAACTGGCGCGCCGCTGGGGCTACACTGTGAAGGGCATTCAGAAGTACAAAGCGAAGATCGTTTTTGCAGGTGTGTGAAGTCCAGCAGGAATCAGATACACGTGTCATTTACTGTTTTACTGAAATACTTCTGGTGGTTGCTGAATGTTTCACAGGAATTTATGAGTAACTTTTCTTGGGTTCATTTCCAAGTATCTCTTTATTTTTTTATTTATTTTTTAAAAATATTTATTTATTGATACAAGCACTGGGTACAGTCAGAAGCGCGGGAGGGTGAGAGAATTCACCAGAGCCAGAGCGGGGAGCAGAGCAGGCAGAAGGACCGAGGTACACTGCTGAGGGGAGCAGCGGGCAGCAGGAGGGGTCTGCGCGCCATGTGGGACCCTCCTCCGGTGGCCGGGGAGCAGCCGGGGATCCGAACCGGCGCTGCAGAGGCTGCGGGCAGCTTCGCAACCCAGCGCTCAACCGCTGCGCCACCGGGGAGGCCCTCCAAGTATCTCTTTAGATATAGAATTTTTCTCTTGGAAATAATGTCCTATTTCTCTCTCCCTAAAGTGAGTGACCGTGTCATTTATTTTTCATCTACTTACCTGATTTTTTTTTTTTTTAAAGATTTAAATATATTTATGCATACAAGAACTGGGGTACAGGCCAGAGGTGTGGGGAGGTGAGAGGATTCACCAGAGACAGAGTGGGGAACAGAACAAGCAGATTGACCAAAGTGCACTGCTGAGGGGAGCAGCGCATGAGCCAGGAGAGGTCTGCTGCGCCATGTGGGTTGTTCCCTGGCAAGGCCGGGGATTGAACTCGTGCTGCAGTGGCTGCAGACACCTTCATAGGTTGAGTCTTGAACCTTTACGCCACCAGGGAGCCCCTATTTGATTTGCCATAGCTGTTTTCTGATGAGTTGGATGGCCTTCCTGGGGGGCGTTCTTGTCCTTGGACTGGCCATGTCAGGGGGTGCCCGTCCTGGGTGGAGCTCGGAGCTCGGACCTTGATATTCACTGTTGTTCGTATCGCGTTCCTAGAGGTTTGGAAGACGAGCGCTGAGTTTGCCTTAGCTTTATTTCTGAAAATGGCTGAGAGCAGTGACTTGAATACTGATTGGGAAAATGGCAGTTAATGACAGTAATAAAATCTGACGTTTGGAATCCTTATGATGACCTTCAATGGATAGGTTCTGTCTTTTAAAAAAAAACTTTAATTTTTAAAAACAAAGTACATATAAGTGTGTCATTGCATATGGTCAAAACTCATTCTTGTGATGGTTGAAATCAGTAAATATTCTGCCTTGTGAATACATGAAGTTAAATTACAAGCCCCACAGTAGCCTGCAGAGTCCATCGACTGCCGGCCATAGTTGGTGCTGGGGTGACAGGCAGCGTTTGCATAGAAGAAATCCTCTGCACAGCTCTGGGACCTGCTGTCTTGGGAATCTGGTGCCTTAGCTGAAGGGAAACATAACTGTCTTTTGCAAACCAAAATGACATCTCTGATTTTCATTTTTCTAGACTCTATGCAGTCTTGCTCCTTAGCTGAAAGTGTAGAGATGTTTTCACCTGCGTAGTGAAAGAAGCTGGGTTAGTCCGAGGGCCGGAGAGACAGAAGACTGTCTTCAACTGCATGATTTATACCTGCAGGCTGTGGAGGCTGAGGCTGCTGGCAGAGAGGAAGAGGCAGGTCGGCTCCTGGTCTGGGCCTCGCCAAGACAGTGTGTCTTTGCTTGTGGACTAGTCAAGTGGAGATTACTTAGCTGAGGGAGACTTTGTGAGTGAGGGTAGTGGTTAGAGACTGTGGAGCCAAAATACCAGTCATTCAGTGCCCTGGTTGAGATGGCTGCCTGGCAGGCGTGGTGGGAAGATTAAGAAAAAGGGCGAGCCCTCATAAAGCCAGCGCTCCCCAGTGTCTCCCCTCCTTGAATTGGACCCAATTGAAAGGATCAGCGTTTGCTTCACTTTGGTTTAGGTGTCTTCCTGCTCCTCGAGGTGGGGACTTGCAGACACGGTCGCCATTCCTACCCCAGCACTAGGGCGGTGCTCTGGGCAGCCGCCTTTCAATCAGACCAATTAGTGCAATAAACAGTGGGCCAGATGTTCCTGAACAAAGCCAGGTGCCTGTCACTGAGCACATAAAGGGTTATCCCACCAAGAAAAGCAAAATCGAAAGCATTTGGACTTCCTGAGGCTGTTTTCTCCAAATGAAATTTAAAATTCCTTCTGTAGAATAGTCACCCAACAGCATTGAACTTTGCGCAGGTAAATGGCTGGTTGTCTATGAAGGGATACGCTCTCATCATGGCCATGGTTGTGTCGTATCCAGAATACCTGGCTTGTCAGAGTTTGGGATTACTGAGATTTGAGAGGAGTGTCCATCCCTGGGGGCTCTCCCGCTCAGGAGGCTCAGTAGAGAAGAACCCGAGGCAGCGAGTCCAGGCCAGGCTGTGGTGGGCAGGGAGCCATGGTGTTTACTGTCAGATTTTGTTTGCGCAAATGAGAGTTCCCTGGAAGCTCTCTAAAAGCCATCTCTTGCTTTTTTGAAAAATCAAACTTTCTAAGGTTTTTTTTTTTTGGGGGGGGGAGGATATGTTAAGTTATGGGTGTTTGAAATCATCACTTTATTTGCTCTCCTTTCTAGCTGGAAACTTCTGGGGTAGAACAATGTCTGCCATCTCCAGTTCCACAGACCCAGCCAGTTATGATGGTTTTGGACCATTCATGCCAGGTTTTGAAATCATCCCATATAATGACCTGCCTGCCCTTGAGGTACCGCCCTCCAACCCCGCCCCGGCTCGTGGCGCTTTAGCTTAGAGTAAATAGAGTACGCATCTGGTAAATGTATGGCTCAAAAATAAGCTGCGTGACTCCAAGAAAAGCCACCTTAGCTCAACAAGGCCAGGTTTTCTCTGCAGTGGTTGGCCCCAGCATGGCTGCAATGCATCTGTGACCTCACCCTCATATGTCAACTAGCCAGTTCCAAGGTGTGGTCTTTGTAAATGTTAGCCTGCGCCATTGCTAGTTTAGTTACCTTGTTAGATGAAATTTTGCAGTTTGCACTAGCCTTTTAAAATTTATCAAGTGGAAGACTTGTAAAAGAGAGTCACTTAAAACAGCTTTTAAAAAAAGGTTTTTTATAGAGTAAGCATCACTCCATATCAGAAAATGTAGGCGAGAGTAGCGGAAGTATTTGGAGGTTCTGCTAATTGAGTGTCAGAAATGTCATACTCTGAAGTCAGTGTAAGTTTATGTGCAAACTTGATTTGCATACTTAACAGGAAAATAAGTGCAGTGTGTGATTTTTAGGTTTCTAAAAACCTAGGTTTTTCAGGTTTCTACTCCCTGGTAGAGAGGGAGTTACTAAAACATATCCATATTCTTTTGGTAGCGTGTTCTTCAGGATCCAGACGTCGCTGCCTTCATGGTAGAACCAATTCAAGGTGAAGCGGGTGTTGTTGTTCCAGATCCAGGCTACCTGATGGGCGTTCGAGAGCTCTGCACCCGGCACCAGGTCCACACTTCCCCCTGCAGCCCTTAGGGTCTCCATAGGATACACTCAGAGAGTCCCTCCCCTGGCCACTAGAGGGAGACATCGCTCTCAGCGCTTGAGCACTGCGCTCTTCTGTCCCGGAAGCCGGCATCTCGCTGGCTCTGGACATGGGCAGCTCTTGTCCGAGCTGCCTCGCCTTCCTGTCTCCTGGCTCTGTGCGCCCATCCTTCCCAAAGGGATACCCTTGGTTGCATCCTTCTGCGCTTGAATTTAGATTCTCCTCCCCTCTTCCCACCATGTTAAAATATTTAATAAGAGGTAAATGTTTGTGGAATAAAGAAGTGAATTCACTTTGTTTCCAGAGCACATATTCCAAGCTCCCTTTGGCCCCTGGCCATTGCCTTAGTGCCTTGCACAACACAGAGCTGGGCATTAGGCCCCCAGGGAGGGCCTGACATAGGAATTGGCTGGCGTGTCTGCAGGACTTTCACTGGCTGCTGCTGAAGCCATGTGGGCAGTTTAGATTGGCTTATAAATCTGAGGGAATGTCAGAAGAACCAACTTGTGTGAGAAAGTAAAATGAGGATGACTGTTTTTCCCCGTGGAAACAAAAATGACAATTACTGCCATTTCCCTACAGGTCCTGTTTATTGCTGATGAAGTACAGACAGGCTTGGCCAGGACTGGCAGGTGGCTGACGGTGGATCATGAGAATGTCAGACCTGACATCGTCCTCCTCGGAAAGGCGCTTTCTGGAGGCCTGTACCCCGTAAGTGGAGTGTCTGCTCCTTCCCGCTCCCTGTTGGTGTGAGATAAAGCATGGGGGCATTTTCCATCACTTGACCTTGGCCAAGGTTAATACTTTTCTGATGGCTTGGTTTTATCTCGTGGGCTGTAGGTTACCTGAACTGTGTTTAATAGAAACACTTCAGAGGTCAACTTAATTTTAACTGACGAATTGTGGTTTGGAATTTGCCATGGATTTTGTTTTGCATGGAAACACTTTTTGTTAAAAATTGTTGTGTAGACCCCTGTGCTTTTCTGCATTGTTCAGAAACAAAGCATCACTCATTGCTTGAAAACATGACCAATTAACGTAGAGACTGGAGAAAACCAGTGGTTTGCTGTAGTTCTCTGCTGGAGATTCCTATCCAGAGCCAGTGATGGGCGCTGAGTCCAAGGGCCCCGGGTGCAACGCAGAGCGTTGTTTAGCCGTCGGGCGCTTCCCTGCGGAGGCTGGAGCGTCCTCAGCGTGGTCATCGCAGGGCTGCTTTCCTCTTTCAGTTCTAAAAGCAACACTGCTCTGTGCCGTCGAGTGACCGCGGGGGGCTCACTAGCTTTGTGCAGGTCACTCAGCGGCGCATGTGTAGCTCTCATTTGTTGAAGCTTTCTGTTTGATATCAGTGTCATAAGTACTTGTCACTGGTGCGTGAAGACTAGGCGGCCCGGCTGGCACTGAGCTCTCTGTCTCCCAGGTGTCTGCAGTGCTGTGTGATGACGAGGTGATGCTGACCATCAAGCCCGGGGAGCACGGCTCAACATATGGTGGCAACCCCCTTGGCTGCCGGGTTGCCATCGCTGCCCTGGAGGTAACTGCTGATTAGCACCCCTGGTTTCTGCCCTTGCAGGTGTCCAAGGAACTGTTTACCATGAGCCCACCGGTGTGATGAGAAAGGAGAGCATGAAGTACAGAGGAGAGTCTAGGGCAAGGCATGCCCCAGGAGGGAGCCTGCGGGCCTCAGAACCCTTGTTCTGACCAGGCCCATCAGGCCTCGGGTGTAGCACGTGGTTTTCTTTTTTAGGATGGATTTGGGTGCTTTTAGACTTACTCATGAAGCGCCTACCAGCAACACAAAATATTATGTAAGCTTGAAGGAAACTAAGGAAAAAAGTAAACACTTCTATATTAACTTTTATTTATTTATTTTTTAAAGATTTATTTATGCACACAAGAGCTGGGGTGCAAGTTAGGGATGTGGGGGATGAGAGGATTCACCAGAGACAGTGGGGAGCAGAACAGGCCGATCTACTGAAATACACTGCTGAGGGGAGCAGTGGGTGCGACAGGAGAGGTCTCCTGTGCCATGTGGGCCAGCTCCTTGGCCGGGGACCAAACTTGTGCTGCAGTGGCTGTGGATATCTTGATAGTGCTGCGTTGCATTAAGCAAATGGTTGTCCTTATTTTGCCATAGAATTAGATTGATAATGGGTTTGTGACTGAAGCGAGGCTCGGTGAGCTGGGGTATTTTTAATTAAAAGTTTTCCAGGCTTTGAAAAGTAAAAATGAAAGTTGAGTTGTTCTGGTCTTAATGTGACCCTGTAATTTTGCTTACAGTCTGCAATCCCCTCCAAAGCACGACGTAAGCTAGGACTCTTAACATTTGTGTGACTTCTCTTTTAAATGTAGGTTTTGGAAGAAGAAAACCTGTGTGAAAACTCAGACAAGATGGGCGTCATCTTGAGAAATGAACTGATGAAACTGCCGTCTGATATCGTGACAGCTGTGAGAGGAAAAGGATTGCTGAACGCTATTGTTATCAGGCAAACCAAAGGTACGGAGACCTCACCCGGCTGCTGTTTCACAGGATGAGCTGACACACTTGCTGTCGTTCCTCTAGCTGGGGACCGCTTTGAGGCGGTTTGTGACTGAAGCGAGGCTCTGTGAGCTAGTGTATTTTTAATTAGAAATTAAGGTTTTCCAGGCTTTGAAAAGTAGAAATGAAAGTTGAGTTGTTTTGGTCTTAACGTGACCCTGTTCTTTTGAGCTGGGGACCTCTCTGAGGCTCTCCACCGCCCTTCTGGTGACTGAGTCGTAGGCAGGGTGTTAGGATTTCTTAAGGATCTTAAGTTCAGTTTTTTCCCACACGAAGGCACATTTAACTAATCTGAGCTGTTCGTTCCTTGTAACTCATTGGGTGTTTTGCCCGAGATCGGTGATGCGGGACTTGGAGATTCCAGGTCAGCTCGTGAGGAAATCTGCACAGATGTTGTCCTAGTCATTCTCCTCTCTGCTCCCTGCTTCCTTGACCTGGGTACCTGGTGTGTCAGGAGAGGTGGTGGGCACAGTCGTCATGACGACGGGAGCCCACAGTGACGGAAGAGATAACTGGTGCGAGGCTTTCCTCCGTCCTGGGGAGTCCTTAATTCTGGTTGGATTTTCTTGTGATAATCCATTCTTTTCAAGCGGTGTTTGAGAATTACCTGGGGAGCTTGGCTTTTAGACTTACTTCTGGAGCAGTTGTGGCAAGATGAACCCAAACTTAGTCTCACTCTAGAGATTCTGATGCCGTGGCCTGGGCACGTGGCGGCGGCTCTTTTGCTGATCCTGATGGCAGCGCAGCGGTGTGCTCGGAGGGGAGACCGTGCGTGGTGGCCTGTCCTCCTGGCCCTGTGCTGGGACTTCTGGGAAGGCTGTCCTATCTCCCAGGCAGCTCACCCCTCACAGGTGCTGTTGATACAGGCATAAAGGCACTGTAACTTCTACATGACTCTGGTAAAAAAGCATTCTGAGTTTAAAAAAATGAACAAGAGTCTAGTCCCCTGAGCTCAGGAAGCAAGTCCACGTGCATGTGTCTGTCCAGTCTATGCCAACTGTCCAGTCTATGCCAACTCTTCTACCTCAGACCCACGCTCTTGGTTGGCTGTAGTAGCCCAAGCACACACTTCTTTTGCTTGGTCTTTTTTTGCATCTATTTAAGATGAACAAAGCCTGCGTGCAGTTATCCCTTTCCGCCGTGCCGTGTGCCTGTGCTGAGTCACTCATGGGAGTGATCTCAGGGCGAGCTCGCCACGCAGCCGTCTCGGCTCGCACTCGGCGGCAGCGCTGGCCACGAGATGCTGCGCTCTTTCCGGAACACACCCTCGCTGGTGTTTGAACCCCTCACGGCCCCTGGCGTTCCTTTCATTCTGGACTGTGGTTTTCTTTCCATAGCATCTTTCCATAAATCAGTGATTTATTTTTACCTGAATTAAGATTATTTTTATTTCTATCTTTTCCCACCACAGTCCCGCATGTCCCCTTGTCCCTTCCCTTCTACCCTTTACCTCAGAGCCCTCGGGTGTGTTTTGATGTCCGTTAGTGCCCTGAAGTGCTCTTGTGGTTGAATTGTCTGCTCGGTGAATGTTCGGTGTTTGTTTTTTTCCACTCTGGCTGACTGGGCTGTGCATCGTTCTCACAGTTCTCTCTGTTTTGGTGAAAATGATTGTATTTCGTCCTTTCTTACGGCTCCATAGTACTCCGCGGCGCACACGTAGCGCGTCTTCTTGATGCAGCAGCAGGCGGTGGACATTGAGGCTGCTGTAAATACTGCTGCTGAGAGCCCTGGGAACATACGGGGTTTGTGTTGGTGGTTTCATACATTCTGTGGGAATTCAAGAGTTGGGGCTGTTGGAGCCCATGGTATTTCCACCCAGATTGCAGAGCTGCCTTCTTGAGTAGGTGCTTCGGAATTCCCTGTCTCTGGGCAGCCCTGGCCACACGGACTGCCAGGGCATGTTAACCATCTAGCATCTTTTTTTTTTTTTTTTTAAATGAACTGAAACTTTTTATTTATTTATTTATGCATATAACAGCTGGGGTGTAGGCCAGAGGTGTGGAGGGTGAGAGGAGTCAGCAGAGACAGAGTGGGGAGCAGAACAGGAGGATCTACTGAAAAATGCTGCTGAGGGGAGCAGTGGGGAGGCAGGAGAGGTCTGCGGCGCCACGTGGGTAGCTCCCTGGCCGGGGATTGAACTCAGGCCACAGTGGCTGGAGATCGCTTGATAGCGCTGAGACTTAACCCCTTGCCTGCTAGGGAGGCCCTATCCATCTATCTTTGGTCAGCATTTATATGTGACCATTTTTTTTTTTTAGATTATGATGCTTGGAAGGTGTGTCTGCGTCTTCGAGATAATGGACTTCTGGCCAAGCCCACCCACGGCGACATCATAAGGCTTGCGCCTCCGCTTGTGATCAAGGAGGATGAGGTCCGGGAGTCCGTGGAGATCATCAACAAGACCATCTTGTCTTTCTGAGGCTCTGGCTTGTCGGCAGGGGTGCCTGGCAGCTGCCGGAGACGGCAGGTCAGCGATGGTCTGGAGAGCCCGCTGCGGCTCTGCCCTCACCACAGCTCATTCCACTCCCCCGTGTCTTCACAGACCTTTCTGTAATATATATGTATTTTCAGTTCACCCACCAGAGAATGGCATTTGTAAGTGTGCAGTTGGCCGTGTAACATGCGAGGACGCCACGGCTTCTGTGTAGGGTTGTTTTTGTGTGTGAGCGTGCTTCCTGAGGTGAAAGGCGTCTGCCTGTACATGGATAGCCTTTTAATCAAGCCCCTGAGTATAATTTATATGTTTTTATAATTTCCTTGCTGGTGCAAATATTCTGTATTTGAGAGGTTATATGGGGTGTTAGATAGTTGACTTGCTGACCTTCTAAAGTTGCATCGTAAGAATTGAATTTTAGTAGGATTAATTATTAATCTTATATAAAACACTAGATTTAAGTAAATTTTATATTGACCAATGCCCTGATATATTCTGTGAATGTCATTATTTTGAATCAAAAATTAATGTTTAAATTCCCCAAATTGTGTTTTAAGCCCTTGACATAATTTGTAAAAAAAATCTTCCTTTTCAGTGTTTCTTTAAATTCAAAATAAAGCATATTTAAAATATTTTGTGGGGGTTTGCTTTTTCTGCACTATTATATTATCAGTCACTCAACCTGTCAAAGCTTCTTGAATGTCATTACCTTGCTTTATTTTATGTATTTTCTAAGAGCATTTCAGCTTCCTTGGCAATGTCTAAACTAGAAATTATAAAAAGAAAGTTATTTTCTGATACGCCTCCCCTTCAATAGAGGCATGTTTTTTTATTTATTTATTTGTTTGTTTGTTTATACAAGCACTGGGTACAGTCAGAAGCACGGGAGGGTGAGAGAATTCACCAGAGCCAGAGCGGGGAGCAGAGCAGGCAGAAGGACCGAAGTACACTGCTGAGGGGAGCAGCGGGTGGCAGGAGAGGTCTGCGCGCCATGGGGGACCCTCCTCCGGTGGCCGGGGAGCAGCTGGGGATCGAACCGGCGCCACAGAGGCCGCGGGCAGCTTCGCAACCTAGCGCTCCACCGCTGCGCCACCTGGGAGGCCCACGCCTCCCCTTCAAAATAGCTTTTTTCTGTCTATTCTACTGTTCGTCCCCCTTTTTTTTAGAGGGTGAATCCTTGTCTGGTACGGCGTCATGCGGCTTGTTCTCGTGTTTTCCATGTGAATAGTGTGTTTTGGGTGGCGAGCTGTGTTTGTGTTTATAATTTATCCCATTATTTGGTAGCTACTATATTTCATCCTACGTGGCTGTAATTCCACATCAGGGACCGCTGTGTCATTTCTAGTTTGTCACTCTTTAAAGAAAGCTGCTTGTGAGCAATTTCTGTTTCTACCTGGACTCTGGAATAGAGACCCCAGGCTCCTCGTGGCATCACCTCTGCTTGGTCCCACGCCGGGAAGCCAGGACTTCGTGCCCGGCCTGACTCCGGCAACGTCTCCCAGATGTTGAACCTTTCGTCAGGCAAACTGCAGTGTCCTGCTCAGCGCTAAGGAGGTATCTGCTGTGAGACTCCTGTCCCCCAAAGGAAGGTGACCCTGCCTGAAATAATTCTCTTGCCCCCTTTCTCCCTATAGAAGGCTTTCATTGTGTGTAGCTACTCAGTGTTCCCTCCCTCTGCTGGGTGGGCTGCTGCCGGCTTCATGACTTGAACAAAGCCAATGGAGCTTCACATTGACTTAGATTTTTTTTAAAAAAGATTTTTATTTATTTTTCAAGGATTTATTTATGCATACAAGAGCTGGGGTACAGGCCAGAGGGAGGTGAGAGAATTCACCAGAGACAGAGTGTTTGACAGACAGAACAGGCAGACTGACTGAAATACACTGCTGAGGGGAGCAGCTGAGACAGGAGAGGTCGGCTGCGCCATGTGTGTTGCTCCCTGGCCGGGGATTGAACTCAAGCAGCCGTGGCTGGTGATAGCTTGATAGCGCTGAGATTTTAACCCTGCACCACCAGGGAGGCCCTAGATGAATTTCTTTTGAACAAGTTTGGTGGTGCCAGTGGGGTCTGGGGGAAAACTTGTGTTGGCTTTGGGAACAGTGACAAGCACAGGCGTGGTTCCCATGAGCCCTTTGAGTCCTCTGTCCTCCACTTCCAGTGCCTGGTTGGCTTCCTTCTGTTTTGAGCTCTTCCCTTTGTGTGAGCCTGCAGTCTGGGTGGCGTTCCAGGTCACGTCAGCTAGAACAGGCAGTTGGTGCTGCCTGGGCCCCAGCCCGTCTCACCTACGTGTCTCATTGAATTGGATGAAACCTCCAGCCCTTATTTCTGGCTGAAGGTCCATGTGGGACTTGTTAGTGCCCAGTCCCCCAATTATGTGGAGCCCCCAGTCCAAAGTCCCCATTTATTGAGGTCTGTGTGTGCAGTCCTTGCCCCTGGTCCAAGGTCCGGTGTGCGCAGGGCCCTCTCTTGATCGGGACGCTAACATCTTGGGGTCACTGCTGGGATGCGAGGGCACGCATTTCTTTGTCTTGTTTGTGGCAGAAGGCTGTCACTAATGGGACTCTTGGAAATGAAAAGCTGCAAAATTGGTGGGCATGACGGAGCGTTTGACAACTGAGAGTGCTCATCAGCTCGAGATGCCTCCTGCAGGATACGTGGGATGGGATGGAACTGGCTGGCACTAGGTTGCCTGCCAACCTCTGCGGTGAGGTGCACTTGCAAACATCCACATCCCGACCCAGGGGCACACTCTTTTTAGGTGTGAATTTGGCTCAGACCCAAAGACTTAGCTGAAGAAGTGCAATTTTTATTTTTTATTTATTTATTTTTTTAATAGAGGCATGTTTTTATTTATTTATTTGTTTGTTTGTTTTGTTTATACATGCACTGGGTACAGTCAGAAGCGCAGGAGGGTGAGAGAATTCACCAGAGCCAGAGCGGGGAGCAGAGCAGGCAGAAGGACCAAAGTACACTGCTGAGGGGAGCAGCGGGCGGCAGGAGAGGTCTGCGCGCCATGTGGGACCCTCCTCCTGGTGGCCGGGGAGCAGCTGGGGATCGAACCCGCGCCTCCGAGGCCGCGGGCAGCTTCGCAACCCAGCGCTCAACCGCTGCGCCACCGGGGAGGCCCCAGAAGTGCAATTTTTAAATGCCCAGTCTCGGAACTATAGTCCTGGGTGTCCGCTCAGATGGCAAGATTGTTGCTGCTGGGCCTCCCCTGGTGGTTGAGCGCTGGGCTGCGAAGCTACCCACAGCCTCTGCAGTGCTAGTTCAATCCCCTGCTGCTGGTGAGGATCCCACATGGCGCGACAGACCTCTCCTGCTGCACCCGCTGCTCCCCTCAGCAGTGTATTTCTTCGTCAGTCTGCCTGTTCTGCTCCCCACTCTGGCTCTGGTGAATTCTCTCACCCTCCCGCGCTTCTGACTGTACCCAGTGCTTGTATAAATAAATAAATATTTAAAAAAAAAAAAGATTGTTGCTGCCATGCTGGTGTGTACTTCAGTTGACCCGGCGCGGTCAGGTTGGGTGCCCCCCGTGAATACGGCTGGGGGTTGCATTCCATTTGTGGCCAGGATCCTATTGACTTGCCTGCTGTCGGGGAAATTGTACAATCTAGAATTACAGTGGTTCCCATGAGGAATGTTCCAGTTAGACAAGATGGTTTTAAGAAGTGTACTTGGGCTTCCAAATGAAACAGGATGGGCTGCCTGTCCTGACTGGTAGAAGAGACGTTTCCAGAAGGCTTCAAAATCCCAAAATAACTTCCTTGAAAGGGTTGTTACAAAAGGTGAATGAAAAGTTAGATCTAAGAGCTACCTAAAACCAAAGACTTAAGACGGGGTGCTCGATGCTCCTTGCGTCCTCTCCGCCCTGGGAGGACTCCAGTGCTCTGTCTAGCAGTCCTCTGAGCGGTCTTTCTGCTTTGAAGAGATGACACGTCACTTCAGATCTCTTTGAAGAGATGGTTCTTGGTAGAAGTCTGCTAAGTCAGTGGCTTTACAGATAACCCACATCTACCTGCCCTGGGCGTGCCTTGGGTTGACAGGACTCAGATCGGCCCGTAAAATGCTGGTAAATACTAAAATTGAAATTAATGAAAAACCTGGGCAAACTTTGGAGATGACAGAGCTACTCTAGCTTGGCCCATGCAGGAGCTGCTCATTGGGCTGTCTTTGAGAATGTCTCTGATCTTGGGGAGATAGTAATGCCTTGCGTCCTCTTTGAGGACTCCCCTTGGGCACCTGGGGTTGTTTAAGAGCGCTGGAAATGTTTCCTGTTTGCTTCAGCTGAAACCTGATATTTGAAAGGATTAGGAAAAAAAAGCCAAACCGCTAAAAAACTGGCCAACTTCAAAAACTGAAAACTGGAGCCAGCCTGATAGAGTTTTATAGGTCTGATCCCCTAAGCTAAATATTTCTAGAAGAAAAAGAAAAGCTTAATACTATAGGTGAACAAGTATGTCAGTCCTTTGACAATCATTCAGGCCACCCAGTTTGTGAGGAATTAGAAGTTTGCAAATCTTTGTAAGACCAGAAAATGCAGCTCCACAGGCAGCTCAGAGTGCCTGCCTGCTATCCTGAGGGCTCTGCCTTTTCATCTCAAAATGCTTGCAGATAGGGTGAGAACTCTGATGTGAGCACACAACTCAAAGTCCTTGGGGGGAACTTGTGTTCTTTCCCTGTCAATGTTCTACCTGGTCTTCTCCAGAAACAACTTCTTTTTTTTTTTTTTTTTTAAGATGTGTTTATTTATGCATACAAGAGCTGGGTACAGGCCAGAGGTATGGGGGGTGAGAGGATTCACCAGAGACAGAGTGGGGAGCAGAACAGGCAGACTGACTGAAAACACTGCCAAGGGGAGCAGCGGGGAGGCAGGAGAGGTCTGCTGTGCCATGTGGGTAGCTCCCTGACCGCCTGGGGATCGTACTCATGCTGCAGAGGCTGCGGACTGTTTCATAATGCAGTGCTTAACCCCTTGTGCCACCAGGGAGGCCCAGAAATTTCTATCTTTGAAATGAAAACTTCCAAAAGGAAATTTTTAACAGAAGGGAAAAAGAAAAGAGACTTTTAAAAATACATCTATAGAAGGTCTTTTGTCCAATATCCAGCCCACAGCTACTGAAGACTACTTGTCACGGACAAATACAAATCTAGAATGTCTTTTTTACAGGTAAAAAATGTTAGCCATCTGATCAGACAACCTTAATTTATTTCATTCTTATATAACTAGTGTGTTTTACATTATGATGCTCAGCTATATTTTAAAACGAAAGCTTTAGTTTCTATTTATGTGTTTGGATGCATGTAATAGATGCATGATAATTTTATACCTCATCCCAAAAATAATTTGTGAAAGAACTCTAATTGACTTAAAATTAAACAATGTAAATTAAGGATTCCTAAAACCTTCAGCAACTTAGAAACTAAATATTTTTTTTCAAATTAATGTGATCTACAATTACTCTAGGAAATAAAAGCTAGTTTAAATTTGTTGGTTTAATTAAAACAGGCGCGATGTCAGTTACGAGCATTAAATATAACATAGACATATAATTTTATTACTACTTGGGTTTGCTAGTCAATTTCATGTTCTCTCTGTGGGTAGGAGTTTTCAGCCAGAAAAATAACTG